CGTAAAAAGCGGAAACTTCGGTTAGTACATACGAGTCTTGATCCCGATTAGAACTAGTGTAATTTTTATTCGGTCGTGTTTAGTAGATAACATTTAACAGGTCGGAACTCTCTTCGATGTCTACTTTGGTCTAGAGGGGGTTCAAATTGAAATGCAAACCGTTACTACGAAAGATCGAGGGATTGCGTACGCTTTGTACAGTCTCGTGCATTTCTGAAGGCTAAAGGTAGTCCGCGATGCATGCATAGGTAGATTATTTCTCTCAAGATCCGTATTTTATAGTTAGGCGATCATTTCAACGCGTCATTCATTTTTTCCAACAATGCATACATAGTGAAAGTAGTTTAGCCAAAGTGATCACTTTGATCACTGAAGATATTTGGAAGCTAGATTTATCCTTTAATTCATGAATGAAGAATAATATTATCGCCCTAGTGGATATTGGCTTCAAGTGAACTGGTCGACGATTTGATGTTTGAATGTAAAAGTAAAGTCTGAGGCCAGGTTACCGTTCATGCTACAGATGCCAGCACTAACAAATATATACTTTCAACAAATATGTAAATCAAATATATATTTGCAGCCCGATCCGACTACTTATCAGCGTAAAGGCGTGAATTTACAGCCACGAAGGGATCTGACATCCGTCGAACGCTGCTCGTTGCGCGCACTGTTGTATTTTTTAATAGAGATGAATCAGGAACTGAATAAATTATGGGATGGACTCGTAATACATTTGCAGCTAAAAAGAAAAAAAAACCTTCAATACAAGAATCGAGATATTCAGGCGGTTATTGCTCGTCCACACAAACATATAGACACAAGACAGCTTGCAAGATTAGCATACAGTAGATAAAAATCTAAACAACTAATTGAAGGGTTCGGGGAAAAATAGGCGCAGGCCACTACACATCGAAGATGTCCAACTATGCGGATTGCGTATCTTAAAAGACCGTTCAGGCTAATCGATATGCTGCTAAACTCATCATGCAAAAGAATATCGGCTGAGTTAAGCGTCCTGAAGAAGGCTTCAAATTTAAATGAATCTTTCACCTTGTAACAGCCGACGCTAAACGATACTCAGAAAGCTATTTCGAGCATCCAGGCCAGCAGTCTGTCAAATCGTTTAATCCGGTTGTAGTATGCGTCTTTGGTTTGGACAATCATGGTACTTACGCTCTAAATCTTCACATATAATTCCCGATACATAGAACCGTACAAGTTGTAAAAGTATGAATGCCACCCATGTAAATGGAAATGGCGCTAATAAGGTGGCCTAGTGTCAGATGCCTATAGCTCAGATATGCATTGGCATATCTGAGCTATGGGCAATCCTGTTGCTCCTCTTAGTGGTTCTATTGTGATTGACCTTGAATGTCTGCCGGCACTGCCTCTCCGGACTGTTTTAGTCTCTGTAACAGTCAGTTTTCACGGCTTCATTTCTAGCTTTTGGTGATGGCGATGGCCTGCCCTATCTGTCTGCCCGTCTGCCAGCCTGACTAGGCAGCTTGATTCAGAAATAAACGTCTTTTCTAGCTGCCAATTTGAACCGCAATATGTAGTATCAACGGCACTCTACATCTTGTTCGCCCATTTCCAGGGTCATAACCAGGCTTAGGCACGTAACTGTACGAGAGTATGAAACGGGTACGCTATGAACACTACGGCCCTCTGCGACAAGATTCTTTATTGACTTTCTTTCATGCACAGTCGATATGGTGGCCGATCACTGTTATATTGAGAAAAACAGTATACTTAGTCGTTGGCTTTGGATGTCTGTGGTAAAAATGCAAGAGAATCAGAGCAGTTGGTAATATTGTAACAGGATCTCTGCTAGGCACTCGACCGTCGCCTTATGTTAGTTATTACAGTAGGGCGAACAACCAGCCGACCATCATCAGATCGCTGTTTGTACCATGTCGAGTGGCGCTGCTTCAGCAAAATTTCGGTGTTATGCTGTTCCTAAGTATTCGCTAAACTACTTCAATAGTTTACTATTTTGTGTTCCAGCTGCTCCATATTTGAACGATTATAGGCCTAGTGCAATAACAAGGGCGAAGCAGGACTACCATGACCAGGCCAACTGGCCAAATCGACACGGACAGCACTTTGGAGCGTTAAACGCGACAGGCTATGAGAAAATAGGGGAACCAGATGCGAATGTGTAATGTTCTTTTTAGGAAGGATGGGCAAAACTAGATTTAGATCGCTGCATTGTAAGAAATTTTGAAACAGACCCGTTACATCAGTTGTCTGGCGCGCAGTGGTTAGAATACCCTTCTCAAACTTTATCAGTCCTTAACATGACGCAGGCTCAGGTTTTTGTTATGATTCATTATCTCTCAACTATGTCGTAGAAAAGCAGAAGCTATCTTATTGCAGTGTTATGTAGGCATTCTTCGATACAATATTTGCTAGAAATCGTTTGAGAATGCTCAGTAACTTGATTGGGCCCATTTTGCCTTCTTAGTGTTTTAGGCTAAAGCAAAAAGATGGCTATCTCCACCATAAGTGTCCTAATAGAGACGCCAACAATACGGTTGTTAACGGCACAATTATGTTGTCGACGCGACGCTGATATATACCTTTCGAAAGTACTTTAGGCCCTCCATGTCAGTTGGTTTCCTCTCGATACATCGACAGCGCAGCTTGTTCTCACTCGAAATAACACTATCTCGTGGCATTATTATAGCGAAATTTCTTGAGTAAAAGTACGTTAGATTTGTGTACCGGCTGAATTGTCCATTTCCAGCTCACGCTCAGTGAATACCGACGAGGCCACCATGTTCTACCCTACTGTGAATCTTAGAAGTAGAATACTATAGAGGTAAACACATGTACCGCACGTCTTGGACGTGAGCAAATGCTATGAAATACCCTTGATATTTTATAAATCTACGGCTTTTATTATCACGAGTGAACGCAGAGGGAAAAAAAAGCCATTAATCCGGTACTCTAATGGACTACCAACATCAACATTTACTGTCTAAAACTCACCGGACTCATTCGTTTATCCTCAAGCAATACTATCCTAGAGATATCTCTTTCGGAAATATCTGATATCAGCAGAAGACCCGATTATATACCAGCGCATCAAAATACGGAAGCCTTTATGATGACTAGCTCTGAATCAACAACAATTAATTAGAATACGGATCGAATAGCCGTAAGCGTGATCGAATACGACTGATGCAAGCCAAGGCATCGTCCATCACGTATCATAGAAGGTGCAATCCTAACGGCTCCACAGCGGCCGCCGTTGAAGCGGATTATTCCACATCTACTGTTATCAGACGAGACTTGTTGCCCAGCGTACAATGCGTTAGGTAAAACATTTTCGTACGTAGACAGGACACCCGTGCTGCGGTGAGTAACATAGACCGCTTGCTTTTTAGCGTAGTGAAATGTCAATTAATGATAGACGATACATCGGGAAACACTGAGTTTTAACCAACAGTTAGCACGAGACATAGAAAAGCAACCGTTATACTGACCTAGCCGACCTCTAATAAAAGTATATTTTTTTTTTCTGTAAAATTTATTATTGAAGGGAGTTGACAAATTTAAAAAAATGTTTATTATCAAAGATTAGCCGTTCGTACTATTTGGCATGGAACGAAGATTCTTGGGAAACACTTGGTTTCGCATTGATCTCCACTAGCTCGATCAGCGAATAACAGATCTTCTCATAATGAAAGAGTTGTCAAATTGTGCTGATTGCATCTAAAGTAAGTGAGCCCCGACACGTAGCTTATGGAATTTGAATGAAATTGTATATATACGTTACTAGCCGTCCATCGGGTGGGCCTGCCGCATACAACCAACTGCCCATATGATAACCACACTGACCCGTCATAGAAGCTGAATTTAAATAGAACTACAATGGAAGTAACAGAAATTAGGATCGAACAGTAAATCACGTGCGAAATGTCGCGTTGGGACGGCTAAATGCTGGATCTAGTGAAGGGAAACTAGTTTCTAAAATTACAGGCAACGATCCAGGACAAAGTAAAGGTCGCAAAAAAGGAAATAGCTATTTTTTGTCATCGGGAAATGCATCGTTCGGTCCCTAAGGGTCAGTTTCAAGGATTACGTCTAACTCAATTGAGCTATCTCATAATGACCGAGCTCCAAACGAAAAAGACGTACAAACGATTGCGTTCTATAACGTAATACGATTTGTTTGAATTGTCTGATGCAACGAAATAACAACTATTAGGACTTTTATTGTCATTAATTTAAAATGAAGAAAAGAATATGCCCAACATTTGTGGGAGTATCATATAAAGAAATGAACTGCCTAGGGCAATTTTACGCTGGCTAGCTACACCGTCAACAGGCCCACGTTTGTTTACTCGCTTAATGATCCTCAATCAAGTCCCTTATTCACAGAAGCTATTTCTTACTACATCAATTTCGCCGGAAAGTGAAGCCCACGGTCACGGCCTGATGGCAGGACAAACGAAATAATTCATCTGTGCGCAGCTAATTTCAAAGATTCGAAGTAGTCAACACTCAATATCTAATAAATAGAATTGGGATGGAACACTGGACAGGAAAGCAATCCCGTGCTACAAGCGAATTTCTGCGTACCGGTCGCGATGATTCTGAGCGAATAATAACCCTACAATCGTACGTCGGATTCAGTGCGCTAGAACGTTATGACTGATCGGAAGCTAATAGCATCTGTCTGAGCAGTTCGCACCTAATGAAATGAATTCATCAGTAGGTACAGAAATCTAAGCAGTGCTTGTGGCACAAATAGTGACAAAATCGAATTGAACAAATTAACCAAGAATCATTTTTCGATAAAGTGACCATTGGGTCACGTAGCCAGGAGGGTCTAAGAACTACAGGCATGTGCGTACTTTGTTCCTATCCGTCAATGCAAAATAGGTCTTTCTGAAGTAGCAAATGCGTAATCGGACCCCCTGAACACGTGTGGTGTTTTTGGCGTATCTCTCGTAGCATAGCCATGATTTAACTATTTACTTACATACCATATCTCCAAATTGGTTCATTCTGAGACGGTACGAGACTTCGCCTTTAGCGTGACGGATGTTGTGCTTGATGATCATGTGCGAATTCTGCATAAAGATCTTTTTACGGAATGTATCCATTACGGCGTCGTCGTATTTCTTCGCATGGAGAGCCTGAAAATAGGAATAATATAATTCAAGAGATAGGACTCTGAGTCAAACAATGAAATTGAATTGAACAATAATTTTTTATCGTAATCTTTCTTCATTTTCTAAAATCACGAACAAAACGACTTCCCCTATATTTCTGTTCAACGTTCTGAAAGAAAACTAATATCACTGCACGAAAAGAGAAAACGTTTAGAGCACAGTATATAGATATATATGTAAATAGGTTTGAATGTAACGACAGGGCCAATGAAGAACCTACTTTAAAATGCTGCCATTCAGCATCGAGGAGCTCGTCGAAGGTTACTGCCGTGGCCGCTGCGCCAACAGCGCTTAGGAACAGAAACCATAACCAATGCATCTAGAAACAGGACACAATCAATCAACTGAGTTAGCAGGAATACGTAGTCCGCTACAACACAAAAGCTACCTATGATGTAAGATCAACCGATGAATCGCGAAGCTGAATGTCGTCAATGAAAGACACTCATTTGAATAATCCTAACCTAAGGCCATAGTGGGGGAGAAGTGTAGCAAGCGAGTCAATTTGACCGATCTGTTTTTCTGAAAAGGAGACTATTTCTGTTAGGCTGCTATCCACTGTTTCAACTTGTTTGTTCGTTGCTACACATGTATCACGAGTGGCATTCGCGTCTAAGTAACGACAAAGCGGAGGGAAGACAAAGGACTAGCTCTAAATAGAAGACGTTACGGTAGTGCCACGTGCGTCAAAACGCAAACTACCTCGTTGTCAAGTTTACATTTACACGGCGGATGTTAGTTGGTCCCTGAAGATAACTTGTCTTGCGAAACGCATCATTATCGTTACTAATGACAATAGTTATCGCGAACCCAGTGGCTAGATAACGTATGCCATGCCAGTCATCCTACGTCCTATAAAGATCAAGTCGAATCTGAATGGCTAGTAACGTCTAAACGTGGATAAGTTTCGTGTTTTTAACAATTCTTCGAAATTCACTATCATTTTCATTCAAAGGTCAAAGTGCCGCGCTTACATCGAATTATTTTTGGCGCCAGAATTCGATCACAAAGCGTACTGTAATCTAATCTAAGTTGGTTCGATCTACCACAGATTCAATAGAACACCGGCGTCTAACACATCATCCACAAACTATAGTAACAGTAGAAGTATGATATTCAAGAAGTGACGAAAGTATTTCGCTCAACAAGTTATGTGTTAACACAGCTGGTGGCATCACGCATCAAATGACGTGCTCGAAATCCACGGGAGTGTGTCGGTTGTGTTGCGAGATGCATGCTCTCGTTTTTTCATCTCTGTTCACGATTGGATATGCGTAGTTCTCTGTTTAGCGTAAAACACTGCCGGGTCTTCGACACGCGCGAACGTGTCTCGTTGTCGCGCCCAAGCCCTTTCTCGTCTGTATTGGATGGTCCTTTGAGAGCAGGCCTATGTAGTTAAAAATTGATGATATGATACGAAGCAGCATAATTTTTTTGTGTTTTGAGCGGTGTATCACAACAAAATCTTCTACGTTATCTGTCAAGTCAAGGAACGCACGACAAATTGTAGTAATCTACTTTTTTACTCGTTGTCTATTTGTGGTGCCACTTTCGAGAGCTGGTTCGTAAACGCCTCTCTTGCGCAAGCCGTCACGACATGTGCGTTCTAGAGTATGGTTTTTGGGCTGTAACGGCGCCTAAAGGCCACACGATCAAACAAACATACTCATATGTGTTCGTGAGAAATATAAGGCCCAAAATAAGGTCTACTCTTAGTAGTAAGAACTAGAAATGACGGCTATTTACCACTGGATTTATCGAATTACTTAATCGCTCTTTACTACGAGAAATTTTAACTGCAAATAGTCGCCAATATCTGTAAAATGTATTTATTATCTATACTTGTAAACGGGTATTATTACTATTTTTTTTTAATTTCTTATTAAAAATCGACACGCGTTTACTTTACCAATATATATATATCTATATATATATATATATATATATATATATATATATATATATATATAGCTTTACAAGAACCCTTTCACATGAGTCCAGCTATCGAGAAACGAGTAGATACTATGATTTTTACTAAATGATTAGATTTGCTAAGTGTTTTGCGTCATAACGTTATGAAGCTTCATCGATGCCAACTACGTCGTTGCCAGTAAAGGATTTGTGGTACCCAGCTAGCACTCAGTACACGAAGAAATGCTGCCAGTAGGTGCGGCATTAATAATGGGTGTCCACCCGCTGTTATGACGGATGCCAGACATTTTGAACCCAATTTAGACAAGCGTTAACAGCAACTGCACTAGCAACCAAAGGCCTCCGGACTATAGCGTGCACATGCGAAGTTTCGAAGGCTATTTTTTTCGATAGAAATCAGAGGACATCTGTCTCATCAGCTATACGCGCTATTCCGCCGAACTCGTCTGTGTCAGAGACGCGAATATGAGCTAAACAAGCCACCCTGTGGTGATGAGGCTTCGGCCAGTTGGATCTCTTGTGTGGAGGAATGGGGACCTATTACAGGACGGTAACGAATTCTGGGGAGTGCATGTACTATGATATTAACACACAAACGTTGGCATGAAAAGAACCCGCGACAGAAAACAAATACGATGATGCATGCTTGTTTTTCTTGTTGTGACTCTTTTGGCGTGGATAAGATGCGTCAACTAAGGACAGATGTATGCAGACGCGACACGGACTGAACGGACAAAGCAGAGCCATGCATGAGGCGCCTCCAGTGGGGTGCGCCGCACCTTAATTTTCGGCCGAACCGACCTCCTTTAGCCTTTGAAGGGTTACATCAACAAGTCGCTGAACGAGAGTTGAATGTATTTGGCTCGGCAGAATTATGAACGGCCAGCGTCAGCTATTAAATTCATAGTCTTTACTCATGAAGCAGAGACCTACACGAGAGTAATTCAAGCTTCACAATACTGCCTGCATGATATTGTTGATGAAAGGTCAAGCTTGAAGGGAATATCTCTTTGATCTAGCCATCATATCGACCGCCATAAACGGCTGGCTCTATGATAACAACAACGATACAGGTTATTAGAGCCTCCTATTTAGTATGCGGAAAGCCAATCAAGCCCGAGTTAGATGGCTGGGATCCCAGATACACCATACAACAGGCAAATTATATCGTGTGTTTAACAATATTAAAAATATGGTTATGTTAACGCCGTGGGATTTCGTATATGGTTTTGAACCTGTTTGGGCGTCTCAGCAAGTGTTTCAGTTGTCGCAGGCCGTCGTAGATGCCATAGTTTCGTGTACAGACAATGACATATGGCGCGTACAAGGATTTGGCGCGTCCTTTTCATTCACTTACGACGATTCACGGTACGCGTATCGGCCGCCAGTGAACGCTACGAAAAAGAATCGACCGATGAGTCAGCACTGCGCTCAGTATATTTCGTATGATAGTTAAAGAGAAAGAGATGATGTTGATGTTTGTTGACGGTCACTTAGCGAGATCTGACAATAGCCCGATAAACAAACACACGTTCCCAACACCTCTGTTCAAAGAGGGGAAGTTATATCAGACAGAACGGTAAGTGGGCAAGCAACATGGGCGTGTCTCAGTCAAAGTGTGAGTAATATTAATAGCTGATCGTTTCTTAGGAAATACTTATACTTTGGTAACCTGTAAATAAATATCTAAATTAACAAGCATTGGAAAGTAGCACGTTTCAAGCCAAAAAGAAAGCGCTTTTTTTGATCTTTGCTTCTGTTGGCTGTTCTTTATCAGCGTACTTCTTACAACGATCCGATATACGCATACAGCGAAAGGTCTCGTAGAGCAGTTTGCCCAAATGATCGTATCCTGAGTAAGAAGATTTTGCAGAAATAATCGATCTGCTAATAACTGGTTATGTCCTATATAAAGATTCTATTGACAGGCTATTCGCTTATCCGTCATTAGCTAACATAGGCGGACGTAATAGAAGGATTGAGCCGTATGTTTCTGTAACCAGTAGCCAGAGTACTGCAAAATGTCACAGTCGTTTTAAGCCCGTCGTCAAAATGCCCAAAAAACATACAATTATATTACATGGTCGTGTGTACGTATCGTCGGATTGTCTACAGGCAATAGCAAGGGAGTTTTACTTGGCCCGAGCAGAATGATTAAGATCTTAAAGCCGCAAAGCAGAGATAATAAAGCATGATGTTTAGGTACTGAAACCATATCGGATCTGCCGTACTAACACTATCTAGTATAAACATTAGAATCCTTTTCTAGTTATTAAGCGAAAGTCGACACAATGTCATGGATTCGCCAGGCGTACTTTGTTAATACGCATCAGCTACGGCGCGACAATATACGCTTTCTCATTCGTTTTGTCTTCGACTTGTATTCAAAGGACAAACAGTTTTGTCTTATAAAAACTGGACGAGCTTCACCAAAAAGACGATCACACCGAACAACAACTCTAGCGCTCTGTATATACTGTGCGCACAGGGTGAGCTGGTACCCATTTCTTTGGCGTATGCAGTAGATTGCTTTGCCGTCCTGGGTGAATTGCCAGCTTTACAACGCACTTTTCAGAACCGATAACTTCCTAAATGTATACATATACTCTTCGGCTTGGAGGTTTTGTAACTTAAGCATGGAAATTACTTCCAAATATCATACTACACCTTTGAGATTACTGTGATCTTTATCGCATAGTAGGATCGGTTTTAGGGTGCATTCAAAAAATGTTCATGTAATCTATGTTATTTACAACGTGGATCCAAAGTTGTATCGTAAGCGTCATGGCGCTCAGAACTTTCTGATTCGTCAAAACCGGCAGATGTCAATTAAACGGTCCGGTAGCCAGATGGTCACTAGTTTAGCACCATCAGCAGACGAGTAGGACAATAAAGCTCTATCAGTCTGTGCGGTTTCAGCAAGTTGAAGACTCAGCACAATGCTTTTCAAATGCTTTTTTTATGGGCGTTTCTCATAAGGAGCCAGCCACATTGTCCATCTCTATCGAGCTAGTATTAAATAAGCTCCACTATTGCTATGAATTTTTTACGCTAAAAATTGCATGCATAGTACCTATTGTCTACGCTGTCAGAACATGTCTCTATATGAACACGGCTGCCCTTCTCGATCCACTCACCTCGGCAAATAGACGCAAAATGGTGTCCCTCGACGCCGGTCGGTTGAGACTTTGCGTGTATGAATACCTGCGCTGTGTGTGTTTGTGGGCGAGGGATCGTTCCACGGCCGTGTGATAATCCTGGTCCGCTATTGCTGTAAGTAGCCTCTATGTGGCTCCTTTCTCATAGTGCTCCCAGCCTTCTTGAGTGAGTTCATCTATCTGTACTGCGATCGCAGGAACCCTCCATCGCGCTGGGAAGGGCTAATCGCAGACCTAGCTCTCTATAGTCCCCGGTGCTCCGCCTGGCTGTGGCCGCTCTCCATTTGAGTTCTTTGCAGGTACCACAAGTCGTACCACTCTTTCTTTAGTTCTCTTGTGGACGCCTGCCACAATTAGTTCGGTTACTTCAATGATGTTCGTTAGGTTCAATGCCGTTGAACCAGGGGTTTCTTGCCAACAGTAGATACTGTGGACTGCGCACGTCGGGTACCGTGAAACGGTTTTTGGATATCTCTTCCTTTTACTCCCACTCTCCACCCCATGACGGTATGTTCTCTACAGATAAGAAACCAGTAGACAGTGAAGAAAGAATAGTTTTGGGCGCGCCGACAGACAGCTGACGACGCGAAAAAAATCTTAGCGAATTCGTATTTGGTTTCGAATGGCCGGAAAATGGTAGGGAATAGTCAGTCCTTCGAAAGTGGCCCTATGTGTTGTGGATAAACTGTGATAATAGTTGAGTCGCTATTCGACATCTTTCGATATGGTGGTTGATATGCGAGATCAGATATCGAGAGGCAACATTACCAATATATGTTTAAATTTGTTATGATGAAGCTATGGCTTTCTATAGTGTATTGAGGACATCGTTATACCTTTACTCTGGCTATTTATTTCAACACGAGTAACCCAGTTTCGCGGTCTATGTCTGGGCAAATATTCTAGGATAGAGATACCATTAATTTTTATAAGGGAGATTATTTAAGTAGGTAATTGGTACCTACATGCGTCAATGAAGTATGGCGTTATTACGGTATGGATGTTCTATATGAACGTACGACTATTATTTGTTTATTTTCGTGGTTATCAGATACCTTGTACATAAGCATTTTAAAAATAGGAATGGGAATGTTAATAAATAGATAAAACACACAGCAGAGCGCGCTATAACTTCGCTGTTCTTTTTTTATGTGACGCCGTTCAAGAAAGGCGCCTTTAGCTGCAAAATTGACCATTTCTAATAATCTTTCTGTTATAGCGACGGTATATACAACAGGCTGCGTAAATGGTATTAAGCAGTCTCCGACCTTAAAACCTAAGAACAGAGGTCCCGAAGAAAACCATTGCATTTTATACTGCTCAACGACGAGTATATGTGGCAACGTTCTTCGCTGAAACTATCGCGTCCAATGAGGACTGGTGATGGACATCCACGTATGATCTACGTAGTCTCCCAGTTTGTCGTGACGAATTTTCTAATGATTTTCAATTGATGAAATTTATTTAAAAAAAAAAAACACAGTTGAATTCGCTTGAAATCTAATACTTTACGAGATAAAAATTTAATTTGCCCCAAGACGATCAGTAGATGAATGATAAGTTCTAGAAGTAGGTTAATTACTGCGCTAACTAGTAATAAATTTGTTAGGGATAAATAAATTAAACGATTCATCGTTCTGATTGCCATTTGTGCGTCCATAGGCCGTATCGTCGGTGCTTCAGGCTCAAATCTATTACGTAGCACAAAGCAGCACTGGCGTTTCGGTCGTTCACAACCCGATAATCGGTGATGTAAGTGTCCTTGAAAGAAAACGGCCACATGCAAGAGTAGTCTGTAGTTAAATTGATTTTCAAATATTCTCTAAGGTAAAAGTTTTCAATATTGGTCTGTTTAAAAATCTGAAATACTTTTATTGCGTATCGAGCATTTTATTGCGTTCCGCATAAGAGAGACGGTGCGAAACTAGCTACTGGTAGCTTGAACATCATGTACTTCGAAATGGTTGTTTTATCGTAATGAACGTTGTACAACAGCTCTGTAGACTGATGAAATGAACAGGGGAAAATTTTCAATGAAGGCTTTTTAAATTAAGCGATTATTTGCCGTAATGAGTAACACCGTATGGACGCATCCCTTAAAAAGTCGGGCAAGCGCAGGCTGACAGATGCGTTCGTGCTGCATTTACCACTAAGCTCGCTATCGATTTACCAGTATCCTTCAGCGCCAGCAAGGATTCACCAGTAATTACAATACACACAGTTGCTGAACAATTTCGAACCATTGCACACACTCTTGTATACGTACAATGCTGAGTTGAATAGATTCATCTAAAATAGTATTATCTTAACAGCATATCCATGACTACTTCCATGTTACTATAATGTGTCATCTCCTAGGATCGATTGTGTAGACGCAGAATTCGATAGCGGTCGGCTGTGGTGCACAGTCAGCGTGGTCAAACCAGGAAACCTTCAATCTGCTAGAGATTACACCTTTTGTCTACCGTCGAACGAATACCGTACGATTCACACAAAACGGCAACAGCTGGAGTTACAAGTTGGCGCTTTCACGTGTTAGAGGGAGTCCGAGGTCGAACGTTTTTACGTTCGAACTAGTCAGTTTTAGCGGTGTAGGGTTATTTTTGCCTGCCTTTGTCTCCTGCCTTGATATCGACAGAGAAGCTAGGAAGGTGTATTGGCAATAGAAAGTTCTCAGGGGTTTAGCTTTCACTGAGTAATTGTTTAACATCCACACGTATTGCACATCTAAGCTGGGATTCTACTATAATAACAAGGATCCGAATGAAAAAATTAAGGCACAGCTATTAGAGAAGATTAAATGTACTGTAACTAATTTGCGAAATTTTTTATTTTGTACAAGAATTTTTTTATTGTATTATATATCTAAAAGATAGTCATGATAAAACCATCGAAATTGCTGTTCAGCGCAAATGCTCTTTTGAGTAAAACATCGATATTTTATTTAACGAACGAAAAAAATAGGAAGAGGTATTTACATTTCAAACGCGTTGTATACGGAAACATTATGTGAGCAATCCCTTATGCATCATATTGAGTTTAATCTGGTCAGTTTATATTCCGAATATTTGAGCAAGCTATCAAGGAAGCTCAATAATCGACCGGCTTAAGTGTGAATCGTGAGAAATAAAGTAAATATTCGCAAGCCAACCGTTGGCCTGAGATGTCCTACAACTTTAATATTAGAGTTTGACTGGCCACTGCCATGGCAGCCGTAAGGTGCGCAAACTTGGCCTCATGAACCTACGAAGTCTCCAAACGGGTGTCCTTCTGACAATGTTGAAAGAGTGTGTCGATGATATCGATAGTAGCCTTGACGAAGTGCTACCCGGGTGCGTCACCTGCAGAGCAATGTTGGTAATGATGCATTTACAACAAGTAGATATGCAACAGCGATTCAAGCCCTAATGAATGAGTAATGTAACAGTGATAAAACGAAGCGACCTTATCTTTCAGAGACTCCTCCATCAGTCAAAGGCTGTTAATTGGGTTCATACCTTTATCGAGTCCTCGACCTCGCATTAACCAGCTCTCGTTCGAAATATATATGCCTATTTTGGTCATTTTTACATATGAAAGGAAAATCATACACGGCAACGCATACCTGACAACGTAAATACGAAAGTACCGGCACGTTAAAACCAAAAGATTCACGAAAGTGCTGTTCTTTGCAGGGCGTCCGTTCCTCATCTACAAAAACAAACTCACTTATTAATTCTATTATATGCAGTATGTCTTTACCGAAATGTTTTGCACGAAAAGCTCTAATTCGCAAACAGTATATATATTGTAGCCCTAAAAAACACTTTTAGGCGAACTCGTGTCATGAGACAACCGCAATTGTCTTAAATTAGTTGTCGGAATTTGCATATTACATTAATTTCGCGACATCGAAATTTCGAAAAAACGATTGAAAGACTACTAAAGTAGTCTTTCAATGAATGCTTTATGTTGTCTAGAATAAGTCTGACACTATTACCATTTGGTTGTAGTCCTGGTTGAGCCTAGGTCACGAGTGAAATTCTGTTGTACCCGGGTGCATGACAGTGAGACTTTTGGCCCTGAAATGAAACCACTTGCGCGCTCCCCGGCTTACTATACGGGATTATTAATCATAGCCGTGCGGAAGAAAACAAAGTGCGCATCAGTGACGTATCAAAAGATCTTTAATATTTGCAAAGTAACAGTTTTTATTAGTGCAGGATCTCTTAGATCATTCTGTACTGCCATTGAAAAGGCTAATCATAGAAAGTGTGTTTAGCTGGAAATATCATGAATACGGGCTATACGAAAATCAAAAAGTCTGAATGCATAGCACACGTCTTTATAAAAGCCTCATAACGGGACCCTTAAAAGAGACGCGCAGTTCTCTCATTGTACATTTGATACAGAGAACCAGTCTCGTCATACGATATTTTGTGTCTAAGAGACCTCCATTTTCCAAGCCATTGAGAATCTTCAGCTGACCCTTCTTCTATTTAGAGTTTTTTTTAGTTCGCATCAAAATAATACACCATTAGCAAGAAAGTGCACGAAGTCGCAACTCAACCAGCTAAGTTAATCCTCGCTTTTTGTAAGGCATCGCTCTCTTAAGCGCTGCAATACACTATTAGCTGATGAGATATAGAAGACCACCTTTGATCAAAGTATAAATACGTTGGTGGCGTAAATATATATATATATATATATATATATATATATATATATATATGTGGCGTAGCCAGTTATAATTTAGAGCGTCATCTTAGGTGTTTTCGAATTGTATATATCATTATATTGAAGTCCGTATGAAAGGCTAGCCTGCATCGGGGCGTCCGGAGCAGAAATCAGAATACAAGTGACCTTGTATTGGTTATTCTCCTATCTCGGAATGCGTTTCAGCCGAAACATTCGCACGACATACACGTCATGTCGTTGAGTCTGAATCGGCAATTTCAGTCAAACCTTGTTACTGAACATGTAGGTGTCAAAGATACCGCCCATATAGAAGAAAAAATGTTACAGTTTTTAATCTTTTTTTTTTTTTTACCAATTAACGGTTTATATTTTCTAGCACCAATTATACTTGCTAATTTGTTAATAAATTACTATACTTATTATTATTGTGTACCCTCATGACATGGCATGTGCCTGCCAATGTAATCACGTTGTGGTCCATAATCGAACCTAGGCCTAGATGCATTACTTAGGCCGGCAAAAGCTAGCCGTCTAAGGTAATGTCTAAGAGCATTATTAGGTCTGTATGCTTAATTGTAAATAGTACATTTTATATAGATGATATAAAGATACTCACGTGCAACTCAGTGCAACATATTGACTATTACAGTCGCAGGTACCTTGACTATGGAGTAATCCTAACTACATTGACTGGTGGTCAGGCTTAATGAATAAATACATTTTTATTATCTCGTTTACAGTCACCGCACTCCTTTCCATATTATTATGCTGCCAAATAAATAGCTATATACAAAATTTCTGACATTGAAGTTCCAACATCTGCGGAGAACGCGTTGTACTGCAAACAGATGTCACCCGAATGAGTGAGTCAATTTCAAAGAAATAACAAATTTCTAAACTTGATTAATTCCTAGTTTCTTTGCCTGCCGTCTTAGGCAATCTATTTCAAGACTGAACGCCACATATTTTTGTTGTCTACCCCATTGATCGATTTCGTCTGCTTTCGTGGTCGTTTTCAACTTGGCATGAAAAACAAAATCCAGCCTTATATTGACCTAGACGAGCTGTTGGGCTAAATGAGGGGAAACGATGCCTCAGAGGCAATGCCACACTTGTTGTTAGCGTTCCTTGCTATGAAAACGTAGCCTTCCTTGCCCCAGGTTTTGCCCCAAGAGTTCTTTACAATGTAGTAGTTAATCCTTGGTCGATCATCGGTCTGACCGTAACCGACAACAAGCATGGCGTGACTCAGCTTTTTCGAACTGCATTCCGTCGGACTGTAGACACCGTCCTGGTAGAATTTGAAGTGACCGTCGATGTCAAGCGACACGGCGATAGGTCCGTAAGTGGCCACGGCCTTAGTAAGGGCGTGTTCGTTTCCTGGCGGAATGTTTACATAGCCGGTGACATCGGCTCCTTTATATTGCGGCCTGAAACGGCATCTACTTTCCTTGGCCTGGTAGGGGTACTTGTCTTCGGTGACTATTCCGGGAGTTTCTCTGATCGTCTCGAACGCCTCATCGATGTTTCCACCATCACAGCCGTAGTTCCCGTACCGTTTCGAGCAATCGATTAGGCTTTGTTCCGAAAGCGAGATGAGTTTGCCGGTCTTTCGGAACATTTGGCCCTCGACGGCTCCAGTGGCCGCAAACGCCCAAGATGATCCGCAGCTCCCCTGATTTTTAACGCGGGTAACGGCTCCCCTCTCGCGCCAGTCTACGGAGTCAGGCATCTCGACGAACTTCGGTTCGATCCATGTCGATCCTAAATGCGTATTATTGATTTGCACGTATCTGCCAAACATAGCAAGAAATTCGTCATGTGGCTGAAATCAAATACAAGTTCATATATTACACATAATACAAATTGGAAAGAAGATCATGTACAGAAGACTGCTGCAACTGTGCCTAGTTAGCTAACGGAAGTCTTGCCCGTCCAAAAGTTCACCCCCGTTAAGACTCCACAAGATGCGTCAGTCAATCCAGTTTGTTTGACATCAGACACAATCGTCTGACTGTCAGATGCATTTATATATATATATAGTCATATCGTTTGGCGGAGAACGTAGCATTGTAACGGAAAACGTCAGCAATGTCAGTGTACTCGCAGCAACTTGCATTTATCAGAGGATAAAGGACTCGTTCAATTACCTGAGTGCTTTTAGTATACCCTCTATATGCGTTATTGACCCTAGTTTTCCATTCAGATGCGCGTTAATAGGGCATCATAAAACATACCATATCTCCAAATTGATTCATTTTTAGACGGTAGCTGACCTCCGACCGATCATAGCGAGCGTTATGAGCCACAATCATACGCGAATTATCGATGTAAATTTCTCTACGTTTCGCTTCAACTGCCTTGCTTCCATAGGTTTTTCCATATCGTTCCTGCGGGCAACAGCAACAGATTAGTGATAACATGATGACGAAAAGATGCATCGACCTAGTCTGTGAAAGTACGCTAAAATGTGTACTTTCGCCGCCGTTAACTGTTAATCCGTTTATCAGCTAAGCATAGCTTTACTATAAATGGCAGGGTCTTTTGAGATCTACGCACAAACGTTTGTTTAAACTACGTTCATATCGGAAACCCCACGCGCAATCATTGCTTTCTGTTGACGCCACCGCTGATTCTAATTAAATAAATATAATATATATAAATAATAGTATTTAGCTAATACTGCGTATGCGCTACAATTCGGTACTAGCGCCACTGAATTTACAAGTCAACATTACTCTAGTAAATAGAGTATTATAAGCTCTACACATTGGCGGAAACGACAAACTTGCCATATTATGTATTCAAGCTCGAATAGACCGCTTGTTATGGGATTGTTTCTTTTTTTTACTTTATTTAATGTTGATTTTAATTGACATTCGTTTTAGGCATTTGTCATCGAAATTGCTTGTTGGACCTACATATACATAACCCAATGAGGAAAGAAAATTAGGCAAATTGAAATATAAGTCTCGAACAAAATCTCTAGCTATAATAGCCAGCTTACAATAGCGTAATTTTGCGGAACTGCGGTAGATTAACTTACTTTGAAATGTTGAAATTCAGCATCGTAGATCTGCTCCTGCGTAATGGCTGCCCTCGCAGAGGCCACGAAGCCTAAAAGGAATACCCACTTCATCTGGAAAGCAGCAAGAAAAGACCTCCTGTTGTTACCAGGAAATAGTATACGGGTCTAATTACAAATAACTCAAACGGAAAAAAACAGCAACTAATTTAACAATGAAAAAGCCTTTTTCAAGCAAGAACAAATTCGTTCACTAAAAGCTTCCACTACCTTCCGTCTAGTTAAAGATTTACCCTATTCTAAGGCCCAGATGGAGTTATCCAAAGTGCACAGCTAAGCTAAGTTGAAACGCACCGTAGCTATGATTCACGCGGTCTGGATTCACTCCTGACGCGGGACAAGTCACCAGCAAAGCGGCCCCGTTTATACCGGGTAGCTCCGATCTGGCGAGCGAACCCTCTGGTTTAATGGTGGAAAGAGTCTGTATTTGGGTAACGTATTTCTAAAATAGCTGGTTTGTACAAAACAGCTCCGTGACGCGAAAAAAGAAGAACGACGAGAAAACATCGGAAAAAAAATACATAATTTTCGCAAAAATCTGGCCACTGAACCACCGATGAATTCGCGGACACGTAGCTATTATTATCACCCCGTCCCCCAATTAGTCCCGATGCCATTACCTTCATAAAAATAATGTTAGAAATTGATGGGTGCCGGTTCAACGATCAATTGACCGTCGTACGTCTGGTTATGATAGCAGTTCATCGTACACGCATTAATCGTCCGCCTTTCTCACTGCCTACGTTAAGAGAAACTGGCCAGCGGTTGGCTAGCCAGGTGTTCTCGTTTTTGCTCATATTTTTTATTCTCCTTTACGCGTTTACCGCTACGTTACGCAGCTTACCACGCTATCTACGCGTGAAGATAGATGCCGTAGCTTCGCTCTTATTTCTGCTGATGGTCGTCTTCACGACAGAGATGCGGGCATGAAAAACTTCAAGGAAGAAATTCACACAGGTCGTGCTGGCATACGAGACAAACTGAGATAACAGAAGTGAAAACTGTAAATTGGAGCAAGCGAAAATCGAACGTTCGCGGGCCCGTGCGCATTACAAGATAAAGCGAGACACACACAGCATTTCTTCTACTTGCGTTTGTGACTTCCGCAGGAGCTGTTTTACCTTGGTCGCTGGCCGTAGATGAAACTTGTTGTTGATATTTCTAATAGAAACGGAAAAGGGTCATCATTTCATTAGACTGCTCAGTGTTGTCTCGTTTATGGCTGTTGTGTTCACCGCGTCACGAGTAACGGAACAGGTCGTATTGTTGCCTTAACAATCTATCCTATACGAATGCTGGATTACAAATCGTTCGTGGCCGACACCAACGGTTACCCTCCTAGAGCAGAAATTTGAATTCAATATGCGTTTATATTGCTGAGATGGACCTTTTGTGTACATATTTCTTGCCGCCCCCGTTATTTACGCTGTTTCCTCAAGGAGCCACGGAAGGGAACTGAATAGCAGAATACCTGTCGGCCGTTACCTGAAAGAGGATAATCCACGGTTATTATAACGCTTTCATTTGCGCAGTGATCGATAGTTACTGCTGACGTGACTGGGCTTCATGATCCCATCTGTCTGTGGTACACACCAACTAGATGGAGTTTCTAAAGCGCCGGCTACCTTTCCAAGTTTCGCCATCGATGCAGATTGTATTCGTGGTGAAATCATAGAATAATACAAGCAAATGCCCTCAAAACTTCATTTTAAGAAGAAGTAGCAATCAACCGAGTGAACTTATTCCTACTTTGGCCAATAAATGAAATACTTGTATAACCCGAAATTGCGTGGTCTACGAGTGCGTTGCTTGTGTATCATTATTGGTTTCTGGATTCGACCTGGGATAGAAATGAGTATGTGACAAATTCTATTTTTTTGGTTTTTGATTCGAGCTAAGAAGCCGAAAGCGTATCTAGCTTGCTTATATATACGATATCAATCGAAGTAAACAAGTTTTCAACGAAACATTGGTTTTTTTCACGTGTAATCATGTTCTAGTGATATATTATATTATAATGTGTAGTAAAGGTCAAGCAATTAGTCTTAATATATTTCGAGCTCCAACTGTACTTCAGTACCGCGCTACGCGAACCGCTGTTTCTTTTAGATCTAGCAATACTCCGGTTGAATCCGTCAATAGCAGTATATTATGTTCGCCACAGGTGGATTCCGCGTGTTCACTCTCGTTTTTCTCCAATTTAATTAGAAGGAAATTAAGACGAATCTTCACTCATACACGTCCATTCATCATCTAATTCGCCATTTGTAGAGACAACGGTGAGTAGAAGTACCTTTCTATTACAATCGACGTAGAACTTCAGCCCCATGCAGTCTCGATATAATTAACCGTAATCGTCCTTCACTACGGTATATACTTGTACTAGGAACTTGTTACTACTGCGTTGAATATTGCCAAGACATTGTACGAAAATCCCGCGTGAACTCGTTAGCTAACTAGGCCAGAATTATAATTCCTTAGTGTGCTCTACACACTTGTTCCAACGTTTTGGTAGCTTGCGGGTAACTATATACCCGTCATTTGGTTTCCCACTCACGTATGTGATTTCCCTGTGGCTTTTTGAGATAGTAGGATGTGTTTATTCACCAGCTGTTTTTGTTAACGCATGGAAAGCCCTGTAGTCACACAGCATTAGTTCTGGAGAATAAACGGGTTAAAGAAAGGCGTCGTTAACCTAAAAGGTAACTGAGGCGCGTGGATGAGATTCGGCCTCATCGCCAACCAGGCCGCATGCCTTAGATTTCCGTATCAACGGTCCATGAATCCTATAAGGAACCCTATAGCGTACGGCACTTTTGTTGAATCGTCGGTAAGTATTTCATAATAGCAAATCCTTTCAATATTTTGATTATCATTATACGTTGCAATTTTCACTAGCAGAGTCTTAAAATTGCGAGTTCTGCTTTTGTGAAAAAGACTCTTCGATAGCAGAAATGCGTGTTTGTCTTTCGGGTTCTAACATCTGACCAGTTTCTTTACTTGCTGGTTTTCAGTACTTTAATCTATCCTTGAATCGTCTGCACCCTTCATGTGCAGTACTTCTGCCAATGTGAAATCAGAGTAGATAGCATTGAGGTTCCACTATTTAGGAGACCTTGACATTGGGAAATTACTATTGTGATCAGATGAAATTTTTGTTTCTTATTAGTTTTATATGAGTCAGAGACTTAAAAGTAGTAGGAACACTAGAGACAGGTACTGCGGTAGGCCAGTGTGGTACGATTGTGCCTAAATACTTTCCCCTTTGAGATAAAAAGTGATCTTTAGTGAAATACTAGTGATTTTTTTGTCTATCGAATATCCTAAGCAGTCAGAAGTAGATTTTATACCTCGATTCGATAATATAATACTCCTATGTCGAAACTTTGCGCGGTTCCGCAACCTGGTGGCCTAGCCAGGCGTAACACAATTTTATAGGTTATATTGAATCTGCTATAGACTTTCCATTGGTAATCTACAAACAAAGTTTTCATTGGCTTCTCCGGTTCTATAAATTCATCTGTATGTAAGCAAGCGTTCATCATGATCGAACATTTCTAAATTTACTTCACGACAGTTAAGATGATACTCATTCACGGTAAAACACGATATGACCTTTGCTCTTTGGACGGCCTAATAGTTTTCTCAACGTTTAGCAAACATCACATAAAGAAGCAATTGTGTTCTATTCATTGTAATTTCTTTCACATAGAGCAAAAGGTTATATATAGGAAACTAAGTATTATTTGCCAGTTGTATCTTAACCGTCAAATTTGACCTTACTATTGTTATTTTAATTAGTTGTTTCCGTCGTAAGGCGCCACATTTTCGTGCAGATGAATTCTATATTGCAGACGAACAGTATAATGACTAAAGGGAAGTGACGGCTCGAATTAAAGAAGAAGAACTGTAAATCGTTACCGATCGAATCAAATAAGAAATTATAATTCTAGATTTGGATATAGTCCAAGTTCGTGCGTTCTCTACGGAGCACTATTTAGCATTTTAGATAAATCTGATCTTAAAGTAGCCATGTTCACACATATCACAACAACACACTATGCATAGCGTATTGGTAAATCCAGTCAGTTCATTACACGTTACTTCAACCCAAGAGCACTACATGGTACACGTATAATGGTAGCCCTACGCATGATTAGCTCCTCAATAACGTCTGAAGCTTTACTTTCGACGTTGATCTATTCGAACGTGCCGTCCTACTGAGAAATTATGCTATTACAGAGACGGTTTCTCGTGAGGTACAATCCCTCGGCTTCCGCTCGATGGGGAATGTTATGCTATTATATAAAACCGAAGATACCCAACATAATCGAAGGCTGCGTTCTTTCTGTAACTGTTGACGGCTTACCATAAATCGTCATTGCAGGACATTGGAAAAGCACTTGATCCATCTTCCACAAAGTAAGTTATATCAATGATCGTATTGCCTGGTCGTCCATTTTCTACACACATCTCAGCAAAATCTGCCAAATCCATAGACTAGCACCACTATTATATGTGCTTGTGGATTTCCAGTTATAATAAAATAAGATCAATAAGAAAGTTATACAACTGATTTTTATCACCCTACACATACTGAAGACCCGTACAGAAATAGTTTCTAATCAGTTTAATTAAAGACCGAAGAAATGCAGAGTTGGAATTTACGTAACTTATATATTGTGTATAGATTTGTACGATAGCGTTATGAACGAGTTTTCCCGCTTCCCTGTACCCAAGATTACTAAAAATATCTTGCATATTGACTTCCAGAAATAATCCTTTGGCTTGAATATAAGCACTAGGGATTTTCGGCAGGGTAAAATATATACGGTCGTCGCATCTGCATTAATAGCTCCGGCCTATATGCATTTTCAGAAGAGTTTTTAAAAGCTTTATTTTATCACTTGCATAGTGAGTGTCTATTTCGATTTGTAGAAAAATAAGGGACAAACAATTCAATAATTTGTGGTACTCTAACGTTCTTATAATCGGATTTAGTGATTATCATTATTTGTACCTAGCAAGGCCTTTTCTATTTGTCTAATTGAACCGACGCCTTTATCTTCGACGCACACGGCTCAAACATAAGTTACTTTTTAACTAACAAATACAAAACCATACTAGCAGTTCTGCATTTGTTGCTGGCGTTCCGCGCCATATTCACGTAGCTTCCTCTATTCCAGCGTCCTCCTTAGGGGTTCTTTACGATGCAAAACCCTTTTCGCAGTTAACAGCCGGCATGGCAACGTTGATTTTCGATACAACTGGTTGATTTAACGTTGGCTCATTGTTTTACGGGGTCGTCAAGTAGCCGCGCATTGTCGCACCTATATAATTCGGCCTGTATTGATACTGGCATCCGGGGCCCCCGTACCAGTAGCTGTCTAGTGTTAATGCCACCGTTGGGTCTTACGTAATTACGCGCAAGCGTCATTTGACTCCTGCCGCAACCATAGTACGGTCGACTAGATTCTTTTCCAAAAGCTCGACTATGTGACGTCTTCGTTCGAGCGCGTTACATTCAGTGGCGCTGACGGCTGAAAACGCTTAGCTTGAAACGCAGCTTTTTTAGTTGAGTGACGGTGCCTGCACCACGCCAATTGATGGTGGAACTCGTCCTCTAGGTCGATTTCGAGGACGGACGGACTCCGCGTCTGTGTGTCTATAACAGCAATACAGTCGTTGCCAAACTAAGTTGAAAGTGTATCAATCATAAGTTCGCCATATGTAAAGTTTTGCCTTGTAAAGCCTATGTCGCGACACTAAAAACTACAAGAAAATGACTGAACTATGAATTCAAGTCATTCGCTCAATGATAGAGGATCACCGATTTGTTAAAGCTTAGCATATCGATGTGTTAAATATTGTACACCTGTGCCAGACTTGATTGAGTCTCGAGTTTACATAATCCTACCTGAACTGGTGTTGTAAACCTTATTTTATAGCACTTATACAGAAGTAATACCTATAAATTTCAAGTTAGGAGTTAGAATTTCAACAAACACTAGTCTTTATGCGTAAGATAATGCAATTTTTGTTTCAAATCTTAATACGTCACTTCATTATTGTTTCTCACAGAATTACTGTGGCACTTACTGGGTCGCTGATTTTGTTTGTCGACGGATCGTAACTCTCTACCCACTTCGTATGCCGGGCATTGTGTTCAACTGCAGATAGCCCCTTTCTATAGAATAATTGTATTATAATATCATAAATCTATGGAATTCTGTCCATACTCTTTTTTGACGATGAAAAATCGCCTCTTATATTTCACTATATACAAATTGCTTGAAGTTGCGTGAACATATTGTTGTGGACGCAGGCTTAAATTACGAGGTAATTTATGAAACTGCAAGTTACGACGAGCCGTGAAAAGGTACGATTTTCTTCTATAGAACCGGGTAGAATCACACAAAATATTGTTTTTATCGTGAAGTAAAAATCAGTTAAAAATATATATAATACATATATATATGTATATATATAGAAATAAAGAATGAAAAAAATTTTCATAGCAGGAATAAACCACGTAGACGCCCGAAGTGAATTTGTGGTACGCTACATAACCTGGATCGGTGTGTCTATTTGAAGGGTTTATCGAAATGAATAAAAATATATCAACGAAAAATGAAAAAACTTGCCCTGAAGTTGTTGCATTCAGCCAGAATGAGATCAAATAATACATATACGGCTTTGGTATCCTATAAAGGTTAAAAGCAACGCGTTCCACGCGTAAAGACTTCAATTGTGAGAACAGCTGGACCACTGAAGTACTAGCTGATTTGTAAAAAAAATATAAGAAAAATTTTTAAATGTAAATAAATAAAGTAAAAAGAAATTGTAAAAAAAATAATTAAAAAAAATGAGTCCGT